AGAGAGAGAGAGAGAGAGAGAGAGAGAGAGAGAGAGAGAGAGAGAGAGATGCAATTAAAATCAGAATGTCAAATGAAAGGATCACATTACAATGAGGGTTCACTTTCAGTTCTAATATAAGCAATGTATTATACACACCTGAAGTGCGTAAGATACAGAAAGTCCAACGAGGCCAGCACTCAAACTGTTTTTACTTAGTACGGCAAAAAGGGCTGCAAAGAATACTACGCAGTTTCCCACAAATTCAACTCTAACTCCCAGCCACCTAGTAAATGAGAAAACATTTTTAGTACAGAATCCTCACTTCATTTGGAACTATTTGTCTTTTCCAATAAGAGGCTGAGATTAAAAACAACTTTACCTGTTGGCTACAATTCCAGGATAGTAACTTTTCTGATTGTCATTCACCTTTGTGTCATTGGTGTAAATAAAAGACGTCTCTCTTTTGTAGGCTCGGATGATGCTGGCTCCTGTGACTGTTTCCGAAAAATTCGAATATATGGGGGATCTGCTAACGGATTCCAGTCGCTTTAATTGACGAGAGGTAGCTACATAGAACCGCTGCCATTGCAGGTTCAAAAGCATTATGTTGCGGGGAGGGGGGACACAGAACAAAAGCTCTTAAAACATTTTACAAATTTGATCTCAAGATTGTGACATCATAGATAACCAATACAGTTCCCAAAGGAGAAAAGCCTTGGAAAAAGAAGCTGTATCTAATTCTCTGGGATTGTCTCACTAAATCTTGGGAAAGCCTATGAGACATCAGAATCAATAGTAAAGCCGTTCCTGAGCTGTGCCATTTTAGCTTCAGGTGATGTTTACATGCTTGGATGCTCTAAGTATGAAAATGTCTTATGTCTTATAGACTGAAAAACAACTTCTGAGGAAAAGCTAGTCTGACCTTGATTATGAGGGTATAATCTATTTTCTGGAAGAGATTTCAAATATAGATTTCACCATCACCCCACTCCATCCTAATATACTAGCTGCATCAATATCACTTTAAAAACAGTGATTTTGAACACAAGCCTTCCAATCAGGAAAAGAAGCCTTAACCTATCATGATAAGATTCTTTTTCCATTGTTAATGTCAAATCCCCACTGCATTATAAATATATATTAAAAAAAACATGCCAAAATAGTACTAAAGTGATCTACACCAGTAGAGATTAAAATTATCTTCCATTTTTCTTCTGAACTGTTTCTGGTTTGTTAAATGTTTTTTAAATGCTAGCAACTGCTTTTACTTTGATGATATTTAATGTTTTTTATTTTATTTTTATTATTTTGGTTTCTACTGGTAAGCGTTTTCTACCATTGTTGGAGCAGCTTATAGACAAAGGGCAGGCTATAATTATTTTAGGAAAGATCACAACAGCAAAAATACTTGCAATAGGGAAGTAAGTAAATGATTGTGAATAAGTTATTCAGTCTTGTAAACCTAACTGAGATTTCCTTCATACAGAAGAGCTGGCTTCTGTGTTTCAAAGGGACTGCACCCAGGAAAGTATGCAATTATGTAAGTATTAATTAACAGATTAATTCTTTCACATTGAAAGAGTGCATTACCTGCCCAGGTTTCTGGTACTTCAAAAATAATCATGCAAATAATGAGGTGACAAAAAAAGAAGAAAAATGACGAGCGTTACCTGCGCAAAATAATACACAACTGCTAAAGGTATTATAACCACAGCAAATATCGGAGTGCTTGCTATGATCACAATCATTGTGGATACAGAATTAAAGAAGGTTCCAAGAAACATCAGTATGGTTGGCGGTATCACTTCATCAATCACATAGATGTCCTTAGAAAAGCGGTTAATGATTCGGCCTGTTGGAGTTGTATCGTAGAAAGACTGTGGAGTGTGGAGCTTATTTTCTAGCAGTGCTGCATGCAGAATACGGGCTGCCTTGATGCCACCCATGGCTAGGGAAAAGGAAGAGATCAGAACAAACAGCCCTGTTGCAAAAGAGGAAACAATGGGAAGGAGATGTCAATCACATTGTATCCCAGAAGTTAGAAATTCTGTTTTATGCAACTTCACTACATTGTTAGTCTGTCTTCTATCAGGCCTGCACCCATCTTTTCTTTTGGGTCTTTGACCTGCCACACTTTCTATTATTCTGCTATGTATTTTCTATTGTGGGAAAATGGGAGCGGGGATTGTAAGGAGTCACATACTATGTAGTCACAACAAAATTCTTTCTAGAAAGCCAAGGTCATCCTTTGCCTCTGCACCTCTGCACCTGACCAGAACTGGATGGGTGGAACTGCCAGAATGGCAGTGGGAGATTGGACCATGTGATGGACTTGTGGGTGTAGGGGCAAGATTTTGAACTTTCAACTGGGTGGGAAAACCAGGAAGCTTTTGCATTCGGGTTTTCCCAGATGTGCCAACATGGCTCTTTTAATAAATTGGAACTTTGAGCAATACTTTGCCTTGGACTCTGATTTACTTTTGGATGCTATTTGGACCCCTTTGTGAGGGGTCTGTCAGCCTTGGAAGCACTTTTTCGAGCTACCACATTTAGTGCCTGGGAAAGCAGGAGGGGGGATTTCAAGGAGCAGTGGAAGTTTAGCCACAACAACAGTCTTTTCCCTGGGAATCAAGAACAATTGCCCTGCACCTGGAGGGGAGTGACTGGGGGTAGTCTCCAGTTGGGATGAAGACATAATTAGGCAATGTGATGGACTTGGGGGTGCAGGGGATGGAACTTTGACTTTCTTCTGGGTGGGGAAAACCTAAAACTCTCAGATTCGGGTTTTCCCAGATGTGCCAATATGACATCTCTCCTGGCCTCGGAGTCTTCTTTCATTGGTGGTGTTACTTAGAACCCTGACAGGGTCTTTGGTGCTCTTTGAGCTTGCTTGTTTTCTTGAAGACGTTTCATTACCCAAAGTAGGTAACATCATCAGCGCTGATAATGTTACATAGTTTGGGTAATCAAAACTCTGCAAGAAAACAAGGAAGCTCAGAGAGCACCGAGGACCCCTGATTTCAACGCTGAGCTACAAATATTCTCCTTTATTAGTGTCTCCTATTTTTTTGCAGACCACAATATCTTCTCTCTTTTTATTCTATTACTACTGATACAGGCCTGTCGAGAGCACTGAAATGCTTCCGGGTTGAAAGCATTGAATGGGGACATTACCATTGCTTGGGGTAAAGGAAGGATACAAAAGGCCTGCAGATCAAAATGGGGTGCTGACACAATGCAATAAAACACAATGCCGAAGCAACGTAACTGTTTAGTATTTTGTTCATTCTGTGCAAGGATTTTTTGAGTAAGTATTAAAGAATGCTAGAAACCACAATGATCACTATTTTAAAATAGTTATATCAACACTCTTAACTAGGAATTTGAGTAATTGCCCTGTATAGATGGGCAGAAACATGTAATACAATTACCTTGCAAGATACCCAGGGCAGCATAGACTCCAATTCGCATTTTCACATTCTCTTGAGTCCCATTTATCACTTTATCGTTGGTCCACGCACTGAGCCATACATTGGCCCCAACTGCAGCACCATTTTGGCAGGAATACAGGAAGCATATCAACAAAGAAATAAGAGGACCAACAGACTTCATGTATTGCCAGAAAACAGTAAATTTGACCTGTAAATTGATGGAAAATAAATATTTACATATTGTACATGCAAAATTATTTTAATAATAATAATAGCAACTCACAAGAATAATTGAAAATTTGGAAATTAGAATATTTTACATGCAGATTATTTTGAGGGGGAAAAAACCCAAAGCTGAAACAAAGGAAATTCCTGAATAGAAGTACATCAAAGATTTGGTCAGGAAAATACGTTTGTTTACAAATCTAAATAAAGTACGCTTCTATAATATTTATGAAATTACCAAATTAAAGCATTAAAGAGATTTTAGATTGTATCTACATTCCATATCAAGACAAAGACAAACACTGCAGCGTGTCTATTTTCAAACTGGCCAAAAGCACCTTTTTAAATTCAGCAATAGTACAATATAATACTAAAGCAATCTCTAGCCTATTGTCTCAGAATATCACTGCATGAACTTTGCTGTAAATCCAGTTTACAGGATACACTTAAAGAACCTGCAAACCATAGCTTGATTCTTCATTTGTTACTGCTGTTACAAAAGTTGAATTATTCTTTTTTTCATCACAAAACAGCTGTAGGCGGCCTATAACCCCAACATCTCTGGATCACTTTTACAGCTTGCAGAATCTCTTTGAACACTAATTAAGAAAATCAGTAAGGGAGTTTCTATCATCTTGACAGCAAAACATGAACAATGTGGCAGAAGGCTTTAAAAAGTTTATTTTTAAAAAAATCCCACCAAAAGTTTGGGCAAGAAATGTCGTAGTAAAAGGTATGTGTACCATACAAAATAATGAAAATGAAATGTTATAACTATGAGTAATAATATTATGTTTATTTGTATTCAAATGTATGATGCCCAGGCATCACAACATTCACACATTGATATCTATAAATAGTATAAAATAAAATAAAAACTTGATGGAAAAAAAAGCTGCCAAACCTCTCCGATAGCTGTATTCTTTTCTCTGTTCATATTCAAATCCCACATACATCTATGGAAATTCTTAAGTCATCTAAGTCATGGTTGTCCCAAAGATGTTTTTTTTTCCCAAGAGGCAACTGGACTTTCTGGTTTTTCTTTGAAGATGTTTTGCTTCTCATCCAAGAAGTTTCTTCAGGTCCAAAGAAGCTTCTTGGATGAGAAGCGAAACATCTTCAAAAAAAACAAAAAAAACCCTAGAAAGTCCAGTTGCCTCTTGAAAAAAAAGCACTTTTGGGATAGATCCCACATAGCTAATTAGACAGTTATTCTACCACAAAAAAAGTTAATGTTAAGCAAAAGTTCCTTACTGTGCCAGTTTCAGCAGTTTCTGCCTGGATGAGTTTCTCAGAAGTGCCTTTTACAGGAGGCTCCATGGACTTTTTGTCACACACCTTTCGTTTGGTAGACTTTTTGCTAGATAATTCACCATCTGAAGATATTACACTGAGTTGCCTGATTTTTTTTCCAGAAAAAAATAAACCCAGAAAGATCCATTACTATGAAGTACAGACACTTGATTTCAACTGTCAGCCTAGTCACTTAAAAAGCGATTCCAGGCTTACCTGAGGAACTGTTTGCGGACTTCATTTGTGACTGGTTCATTATCTGCCAGATCTGTGTGGTTGCTGAGAGTGTCTTCAGCAAGCAGAACCTCTTCATCCTCCATTACTAAAGAGGGACAAATATTTAATTATTTGGGTTTTCTAAAAGAATATCTTTTAGACAGTCTGAGTTCAGTGCTTTCTAAGTCACAAAAAATAAGGAGCAAAAATGAAACTCGGCTGCAGGTAGTCCTTAAGACCATAATGGAGTACAAAATTTATGTTGCTAAGTGAGACAGTTGTTAAGTGAATTTTTCCTCATTTTACAACTTTTCTTGCCACAATTGTTAAGTGAATCGCCGCAGGTGTTAAGTCAGGAACACGGCTGTTAAGTGAATTTGGCTTTCCCATTGACTTTGCTTATCAGAAGGTCGCAAAAGGGGATCACATGACTCCAGAACACCCAGGAATACACGCCAGTTGCCAAGTGTCTGAATTTTGATCACGCGACCATGGGGATGCTGCAATGGTCGTAAATATGAAAAACAATCATAAGTCACTTTTTTCAGTGCCTCCGTAACTTCAAACGATCACTAAATGAACTGTTGTAAGTTGAGGACTACCTGTATGCTTGCACTTAGGATTTCAGTGTATTGGGATTTTTAACGCATCCTTCCAGTTTCATCATCAAGTACATTGGATGGGATATTTTTTGAGATACTGACTCTGCCACATTTGAGTGAGCCTATACTAAACGAAAGCAAGAAACTACAGACATTGAGATCTTTGGCTGCACTACAGAACAATTATTTCTGAAGTTACTTGGGAGTATCTTATTGTACTATGTCCTACTTTTGAAGATGGTAGTGATGGTGGAAGAAATAAGAAAAAGAGGTGGAAAAACAGAAAATAATATATCTGGTGGAAAAACTGGAATGTCCTATTTTTATCCCAAAGGTGCTTTTTCCAGAGGCAACTGGACTTTTCTGGGGGGATTTTCTTTGAAGATGTTTTGCTTCTCATCCAAGAAGCTTCTTCAACTCTGATTGAATTGTACGTGATTCTTCAGAACTGAAGAAGCTTCTTGGATGAGAAGTGAAATGTCTTCAAAGAAAAAAAAACCAGAAAGTCCAGTTGCCTTTGGAAAAAGCACCTTTGGGACAATCATGACTTGGATGACTGAGATTCTCCATTGACATTTAGCTTCCTATTTTTATCTTATTCGTTTTAAAAATTGATAAATTGGTGAAACTGTTTAGATCAGGGGTCCTCAAGGGGCCAATTCACAATCACTCAGACTGTTGGAGGGCTAGACTGGCTGGCTGGGTATGGCTAGATGGTCATGTGACTGGGTGGGCATGGGCAATTTAGCAGTCTATTAAACAATACACACAAATTAAACTTTAATTTGTTATGCCCCTGGGGGTGGAAAGCAGATTAGTGAAGAGATGCGGCTGCCTGGGGGGGGGGGGGGTGCATCTCTCTCTCTCTCTCTCTCTCTCTCTCTCTCTCTCTCTCTCGGCTGGGGAGTCCAAAAACGGGCCCATTTTTGCCTCCAGAACCACTCTGCCATCCAAAAGCAAGCCTGTTTTGGCTTCCTGGGGTGTCTGTGCATCGTTTTTTGGGCCTCCTCAGCCTCCAGAATCATTCTGCTGCCCAAAATGGGCCCATTTTTGGCTTCCTGGGGCCTCCGTGCATCTTGTTTTTGGCCTCCTCGGCCTCCAGAAGGTGGGTAGGGGGCAGTGGAACGATGTGGGTGAGGCAATGTGGGTGGGGCAGCCTTGTGGTCCCTCACAGGATGGATTAATGGCTTCGGTGGACCGTATTCGGCCCCCGGGCCATCGTTTGATGACTCCTGGTTTAAATCAATATGCAAGCATGTAGGCAGCTTTAAACATTTCTGAAATGTTAGGTAATTGTTATACCTTCTCTTTGTCAGTGCACATTCTGATGTTTTTCAAAGAGAGAGGGAGGGAGGGAGGGAAGGAGAGATTGATTGATTCCTGCATAATCTAACAGGCTAAGCATCTCAATCTAAAAAGAACTAAAACAGCAACAATAAAAGTGTTATCACTTGTTGGCTCATCTTCTTCTATATCTTCATCAGGTGCATAATTGCGGAGGAATTCTGCAAAAGCCCCGTTTTGTTGCAAAAGCTCTTGATAGGATCCCATTTCAGAGATTCTACCATCCACAACAACTACAATGTAGTCCACCTGAGGTAAAAAATGAACGCCATGGGTCACCAAAATTCGAGTCTGAAAATAAAAACAGTATAGTGGTCAGGAATGCTGTCTTGCTAGAATTAAAACATTCTTAAAATACAGATATATTTAATTTTAATAGTTACAATTAAGACAAGCTTGATTACATCTTATGAAATAAACACTGCTGCAAACTTTAAAAAATGAACAACACCTCTCATATTACCAGCAGTGGCAAAATTCTGTGTTTCTGCAATTTCCACAAGAAAAAAATTGGTTACAGAATTATAGTTGTCAACTTGTACCTATTTTTTGGAGATATCTCCAACAATTTTTGGAACATTTTAGTTACTCACATACTTATTGGCTTTTCACCCATGTAAACTAGGGAGTGACCTAAACAGTTTGAGAACTTGTATTTTCTTAACAGGGATATTATTATCCACTATTAATGTCAGTACTATTTTTTTAAAAAAATATTGTAAAAAGTGATGTCTATTGCTGGTCTATGACTGTATTAAAGTTATATTCTTCTTAGCACATATTACCAGCCGGTCTCATAACAAACAATGGCAGAGGCATCTTGTCAATCTGACTTCCAAGCATCATTTAGAACTGATCAGATGGTAATCAGAGAGAGAAGATACAGCTAGTCCTTGACTTACGACCACAAATGAGCCCAAAATTTTGTTGCCAAGTGAGATATTTGTTAAGTGAGTTTTGCCCCATTTTATGACTTTTCTTGCCACACTTGCTAAATGAATTATTGCAATGGTTAATAACTTGCTTTTTAAGTGAATCTGGCTTCCCCATTGACTTTGCTTGTCAAAAGGTCCCAAAAACTGATCACATGACCCCAGGACAGAGCAACCATCATAAATAAGAACCAACTGCCAAGCACCTGAATTTGCAGAGGGATGCTGCAATGGTCCCAGTGGTGGCATACAAATAATTTAACAACTGGTTCTCTGCCCTATTAATTTCTTCTAACAACCACTTCACCAAACTGCTCAGAAAGTTAACAACCGGTTCTCCTAAAGGGGTGCGAACTGGCTGAATCCCACCACTGGTCCTAATTGTGAAAAATGGTTATAAGTCTCTTTTTTCATGTCATTGTAACTTTGAACAGTTGTATGTTGAGAACTATCAGTACAGTGGAAGACTATGTTCTTTCGTTTTATGAAATGCTATTATTTTAAATAAAATAATACAGCATATTAAAAGGTGAAAGAAAGGAATGTGTGTTTGTATGTATTTATTAATACACCACATGTATTTTGGATGATTTCTTGTACACAGCAGATGATGTCTAGGCACAAGGAAGATAACATTGAAAGGGGGGGGGAATCATATTTCAAGACAGGTGTAGGGAATTTGCAGCCCTCCAGATGGTGCTCAATGACAACTTGCAGCAATCCCAGCCAACATGATGATTGGTGAGGAATGATAGGAGTGGTGATTCAGCAATATCGGGAAGGGTGTGGGTTTCTGCTTCCTGCCCAAAGATGATTAAATATAGTAGAAAAATCTACCAGAAAAATATCAAAGGTCAACCAACCAACTAACAGTAACTGAGGACCAGAGGCGGTAAATACCACCTCTGACTGGCCCTGCCCCCATCTATTCTCTGCCTCCCGAGCCCCAGCTGATTGGGAGGGAATGGGGATTTTACAGTATCCTTCCCCTGCCACTCCCATCAAGCCATGGCCACAGAACCAGTAGTAAAAAAAAATTGAATCCCACCACTGCTGAGGACTAGTGTAATGTAAAGATTAGAGCCTTGGGTCAGGAGGTAGGAAATCCAGGGTCAAATCAAGCTTCAACCATAGAGGTTCACTGGGTGACTTTGAGCCAGCCACTATCTTCTAGTCCAGGTTCAAACATCAACGAGGATGATCTTCGCACAATATTGGAAAGATGAAGAACATCACATGATGAAGAGATAATTACGAAGATACTAGACTGTGCAGAAATGGATATACTTACATTGAAAACCAAACAGAAAGAAATATTATCAAACCTGGAACTTATTTTACCAGTGCTTGGAAAAAAGGAATGGCGACAGTGGTGTATTAACCATTAAACAGACTAAGCACCTGTTTAGGGCACCGTGCCCAAAGGGGGCACTACAAAGTTGAGAAAGAAAAAAAAACAATGAAGATTTTTACAGTATGTACAAAGGAGGAGGGCACCAAGATTTGTCACTGCTTAGGGCACCAGTGAGCCTTAATCCGCCAATGAGTGGAGAGTAAGGATTGGAGTCTGTATTGTTAAGTAAATACCCAGACAACACAATGTTTATTAAGCACTAAGAAACGTGATTAATAGAAAATTAATAAATGTAATTTTTTAAAAAGGGTTCTTGTTCTGAGTGTAAAATATGAGGAGGGACTATGCCACCTTGAACTTCAAGAAAAAAAGTATGATGTACATCAAACGATTGAATGATTCAAGAAAAACAGGACTGGATTTCTAGGATGGAATGGATGAGCAGTAATGGACTGCAAATTCCATTGTATTGCATAGCTTATAGCTGTACCAAGAACAGCCTATCCCTGGACTGGCATCATTGTGGTCCATTGGATCAGGTAAGTAAAACACTGAAAAAGTCTGACTTATTAGACTTAAAAAAAAATCATAATTTTTACGACTAGCAGTGAGAATCTCTCTTTCAAAAGGGATATGTGCCAATAAATACGCAATTTTACATCTCTTTGGGCTCACCTTTCCTTTAAGTATTCCTTCTGGTCCAACAACATTGTCAAAGATGTGTTTTGCCACATGAGAATCTACTGCTGAAAGAGGATCATCTAACAAATAAACATCAGTGTTGCTGAACACAGCACGGGCAAGGCTTACTCGCTGCCGCTGGCCACCTGAAAGATTGATGCCCTGTGGGGTGAAAAGAGGAGAAAAGAGGGGGGGAATATATCACACCTTTCAAATGCAACAATGAATGGTGCCAGTTCTACCAAAACCTACCATATCTGCAGGGAGAGCTCAAACATGGGGAAACCTAAGGTGCAATTCAGATACCTGTGACCTGGAAAGACAATAATATTTGGTGCCCTATTGGCTGCATGCTCCCAGATATAGTATCCAATTGATTCAAAGAATTACAGAAGGGTAGGTCTGGAAGGGTTCTAGATCACTGTCCTAGTTCGCCCTTCTGCTCATTGTAGGAATCCACTATTATAGCATCTCTGTGTTCTGACTGAAGCTTCCCAAGAGCATGAAGCAAACTTCTTGTCCTAACAAAAACCCCTTTTATTAATATACTGTGAATTCTGTTCAGTCACATTCAGCAAAGTCTTTCAAGGGAGGATTTACAGTCATAGACCTTATCTGGCTTGGAGAGCTGACAGGCCGATATCTGCAAAACCTGGCAAGGAGTGTTGAGTCACAAACCAATTCAGCAAACTAATTGTCTCCTGCAAACTCCACTCCCCTTTCACTCCTCTTTTATTTCCTCTGGGAGGGGCCATTCATCATCCCCCTATGGCCTTACTCCCAAGCTGATCCCTGTTCTTTAGCTGTTCCCTTCATCTGGCAACTCTGTGCTTGCACACACTGGGAACAGACTCCAGCTGTTCGTCTGCCTCACTGATGTCTGACACTGAAGGCAGCTGATAACTGGCATACGGCTCTGGCCCCCTCTCTGCCTCCGACACAGAGCCCTCATCAGAGCCCTCCCCAGACTCCAGGACTGGCCCATGATCATTCCCAACCTCCTCACTGTCTGAATCTTCTGCCAGCTCTGCTGGCAGGCCACAACACTCTGTGAGATGCCTATCCAGCTTCTGTTTATATCCTGCCAGAAAACGAGAGCCCAATATTTCTTGAGGGAATCTGTTCCATTATTGCATCAATTAATTACACCTAGATTGATATGCAGCTTCAGCCTTGGCACATAATGTTTCTGTTAGTTGGCTAATGGGAGTTATAGAGGTCACTGGTTACATGACAAAAAAAACCCAAAGCAGTATGGTCTTGGGGCTGGCAGGACAATGGGGAAATGACCAAGATAAATGACTCCTTCTTTCTAAGGGGGTGACACCTCCGGAAGTGCAGAAAAGGGCAACCAGTGTGCTCAGGAGCTGGTTGAGGAAAGGCTGAATTGCAGGAAAACAGATCACACCATAAAGCAGCTGGAAAGTTATGAAGCTAGAATTTCTCTCCCCCCCTTCTTTTTCTCCCTAAATTAATCCACTGAGGTTGCATGATGGAAATTCTCTGATATAAGATCTCTGGTACTGCCTATATCAAGTTGAATGAGTTTCAAAGGAATCAACTTGAATTGACTTTCAAGGATTAGACAAATCTGTGGAAGGGAAAGCTATAACACGCTTCATTGCTCAACTGAAATTTTATATATTTCCCAACAATCTGCTATAAATAAATAAACTAAATGAGGGTCCCTGTACTGCCTCAGACCAACATTTAATTAATGGGTCCAGGAGAGACTTGCTTAATACATGCTCTACTTGTGGCTTCTCCAAGGCATCAGAAAAATAGTGTGGAAAATGGATACTGGCCTAGGTAAATCCTTGCTCTAATCCAGCCTCAGGGGCTCTTTTTCTCTGCGAAAAATTAAAGAGCTTAAAAAATGCTGAGAAATTGGGACCACTGTTCCATTTTCAGGACCTTTCTTATCTTTTAGACTGGTAATAAGAAAATACTATCAGTCTTCCTCTGAATCAATCAATCAACCATTCATACATGCCCGCACTGCTTTGGTAATTTGAATTTAAATAAAAGGTAATTGTTTGGAAAATCCCACAATCTTTTTCAAAATGATGAGTGGAAAGCTTTAAATCCACTACATTATTCAAATGTCACTGCTTCCCATTTACTCTTCTCTTTCATTCTATCTTTTCCTCAACTCTGACTTTATATACAAACCTCATTTCTATCCCAATTAGTCCTCTGCTTAGCATACTTTCATAGCCTGGTATGCTCCACCACGTTGCTTTTTCCCCACAGTGCTTTCTTCCCTAGCTATATAAATTTGCAGAATAAATAAATATAAAAGCTCAAGCTCATTACAGCCATTCCTCATTTAGTGGTTTGCTTTATTAAGTGACCATTTGCAAATAAAATGATAAGAAACAATAGTAAACAGTAGTAAAAAAAAATCATTTTTCAATCAATTCATGTACTTACGACCAAATTTCTACACCTGATAACAATGCACACTGCAGTGAGGCTGGTGTTGCTGCATGAGGGAATTTTATCTAAATTAGATGGCATCATCTCTCTCTCTCTCTCTCTCTCTCTCTCTCNTATATATATATATATATATATATATATATAAAATTGGAGAGATGGGCAGATTATAAATTTAACATGTGAAATTTGTTGGTGCAAATGTTTGTCATAATTTATCTCAATTCAGCAGAATATATCTGCGTATGATCCAGACTAGATCCAAGATAAAGTAGACGCACTACAGTGGCAGATTCCCTTGGCAGGAATTCAATGTATGATTTATAACAATTTGCTGATTTTATAACAACTTGCAAATTTGTCCATCAGAGTTTGGGTCCCTCCTATAGTCCTTTTCTCTTTCAGCTACAAATGCAACAACACAAGTGAACATAATTGAGATTAGAAAGGGAAATAAAGCACAAACAAGGAAAGCAGAGGGATGAATTAAATTTATCTTACTACTAGGCTGTTGGTGTAAAATTGGATAGTTTATCCCTATTTTATATTCATTTATTAACATTTGCTTTCAACTTCTCATTAAATATTAGCTGGCTAAAAGACAATCAAATATCAAATACATAAATTTCAATATCAGCAAAATAATCCCACTCTTATTTCCCAACAAATAAAGAACATCAAGAATAATAACCGTCCACACCAGTTTCCCCAAATATTTCGAAGTTTCTCACAATACTGCAATACTAACCTACCAAAAAAGGAAGTGAGATATTCTAGGGAGGAAATTTAAAACATTGGGGCCATGAATGTAAAGACCTTGTTATAGGTGGTTGCCTGTCATATACTAGTGAGAGTCAGTCATCTTATTTTTAATTGTAAAAACTGATGCACAAAAGTTTGTAACCAAACGACATGCTTGATGAAATTGAGGAAAGTTTTTAGTATGTGTTGTTTTGTTTTTGTTTGTTTTAAAAATATATAAAAATATTTTTTTTAAAAATCTTTGAGACGTTCTTAATGTAACAAGTTAGCTACTGAAAAGTGATGGCATTTCCAAGTTAAAAGTAGCACTCTGAAGTAGCACAACCAGAAAGGAACTCAGTGGTTGCATTATTAGTAAAACTGAGTTAATATTCTCCAAGTAACCAAGTCCAGTGATCAATCAGTCAGCATATTGCCCGAGTTTTTTTTTAAATGATTCCTAGAAGAAGCTGTGTAGAAAGTAAGAACTGTAACAAGAGTTAAATTTGGGTGTGCTCAAGACATATATTGCTATAGCCGTATTGTGATAGTGGCATTCTACATAACCCAGCCATTGGTCTTAATTATAGGGGACAAGAGAGTCAGTCTTACAGTCCTCTGTGCATTCAATGCAATTTTTTTAAAGTCCATTCTTACCTGTACAATATTACTAATGACCTGAGGAAGCATGTTGAGTGGGAACCTTAAGAGATTAAATAGGGAGAGTGACACAAAGGCTTTCTCGGCATCAAGAACATTCTTTTCATCCACACTGACATAGACAGCAAAGGTGGTCAAGGCAACCTGGAAACCAGAAAGCACAGACTGGTTAAACACTAAATCAACAACCCTTGGCTTTGAATTTTTACTTTTTGAGACTGGAAATGTAAGAATGAAAATTAACTCCCTGTCTTACGTTGCTCTGTTATAAAGGAAGAAAGATGGGGCCACTTCAAAGAAACTTGGAGAACTTCTCCAAAAGCTGGAGAAAGTAAGGTGGGGCATGATTGTTATGATTTATCAAGGAAGGTTTTCCCTGTTACAGTTTCCTCACTAGATAAGTAAAACTTAAAATAGGCAACTGGGATGATCAGCTTGCACAAAATAGAGGCTTGGCATTGAATTATATTAGCGTAACTTTTTTATTCCATCAAATGGATGCAACAACAGACACCCCAGTTTACAGTTTCTACTTAAATCTCTTAAGCAAGCTGATGCCTTCTTAAAGGCTGGGTACAATCCCTGAAGATTCTTTCTCATCCGACACCTACATTTTCATGATGCTGCTCTTGGCTAAATTTGGTGGGAAGCTGGTTAGAGTAAAGACAAAAAAAGTTAAGAACTGAAAATTGGTTTTTGCTAGTTTAAATATAAAACTGATGTATAAACTTAAATTAACATTGAATTTCAGAAATGTTTTAGCATTTAGTTAACTTTTCAAGTAGTTTTCTTAAAACAATCATGCACTTCTTTCTGACCAGGATCTTGAAGAGAAGAAAATTGGGCATTCATATCCTATATGGATTTGGGGAAGCATTTGGCTAGCCATTGCAAGGGGTAGACTGATTATGGCTACTGCTAATTCATTTATTTCACTTCCAAATCTACATTTCTTCAGGGTTTTCAAATAATTATATCTGAGGTCTATTAGCAATGCTATTTTATTTTGATTATCTGATAAATAGTTGTCAGAATTTGGCAGAAGAAAAAGTCCAGCGAGATAATGGTCTCTCTCTGTTTATCCCTCATGATTATATTTCAGTTATGAGAAAAATTATCTACAATGGTAGATTGCTCTGCTAAGAGACCTACTTAAGTCCAGCCATCTTCTGTTTCTGTCAAACTGCAATTTTGTTTAGGTAGCTCAGAATTTCCTTCTCGTAGTCCCTTCAAAGATGGAACCAATCTTCAAATACTTCCTGCCTTCCATGAAGAGTATCTAAGTATGGATGAGTCAACTTGCCACAGCTAACTCACCATGGGAC